CCCTTCAACTTTTGTCATGATAGCTAAATACAATGCTGATGAAAGGCTGCACCTTGTGCCAGCCTGCTGATCACTTGAGTTGCAGTAACCCATGGCTCATACTGAATAGCTTTCAACTATTGCTGCTCATTTAAAAATGAATTTAATGGCCAACGATGATCTTCATCATTTAGTCTACTTAAAATGTTCGTTGCTTTGACATGCATCTGATTGGTTCACCTTCACTAAGATAACAAAATCAATTTGGCTCACCCTCTGATGAATTTTGTTGAAAATGGTTCATCGATCTAACTTTATATGTCATGGCAGATTACAGCTCACTGGATCAGCAGGATTTGCCTGGGATCTCAGGATGCTTCACCTAGGACTTTCAGGCTTACGTCATGACTCGAAGACATTCGTATTCGGTTTCCTGTTTCGTCATTTAACGAATCTCTTTATTTCTTATTTTCATTTGAAATGAATAATCCAACAACAAAAAGCGACCTTAGTTGTCTGATTATGGCTTGGTGGCGGGACAGATGAAAAGCATGAGTTAAACACTTTCATGTCACAGTAGGCAGAGTTTTATCCACAAGTTCAAATAAACAATTATTACATATATGCATTCAGAGAAGGTAGGAGAAAAGCGGGTTTTCGATCCCTTTTTATTGCTTCCTCTGGTATTGAAAAATGAAATAAAGCGAAATATTGTAGAATGTATCCGATAAATAATCCCATGTTGTAGGCCTATTAAAATGCCACAGGAAACTACATTTCACCATATATCTTACAGAACATGTCTTAAGATGAATTGATATTTTGATAAGACTAGTTAAATACTGATCCAAGTCTTTACTTTTCACCCAAGTTACATCGTTCGATATTTGAGACATACTCTTCTTATTCTGGACCCATGAGAATAATTCCTCTCTTGCATATAGTTATCTGTCATTTTATGGGTCGACAAAATTCTAGTCCTAAATATCAGAAAAAATAAAATTGAATCGAAGATACTCCTGAAACTGAATTTCATCTTTGATACACTTATCTTCACTTTTCCACCAAAATAATCTTCAAAATAATTTCCATTCATACACTGCATTCATGCTTTTTCCAATTTGATTGGAGTTAGATTTATCATTCTGCATTTAAAGTGTTGTTACTGGATTTTTAACTTTAGCTTTCATTTTAGCATCCAATATACTTGCATCATATAATCACTTAAGGTTATCTTACGTTGATATAACACGGTAAACGAATAATTTATATGATTCTTATACTTCAGATCCCAGCTTAGTCAGTACATCTCTGCCAGCGAAATGGAGGAAATAAAACGACAGGCTGCCAAAGCTGCAGTCGCCGCCGCAGCCGCACTTACAGGAGGGGCCGCCAATGTTAACACCGTTGTTCCTGGAAGCGGTAATACCTGTGCGCCTTGCCTTAGTGACAATGGTGGTAGTCCCTTAGTGACTAACTGTGATGATCCTACTGATCAGAATGAACCTGATGTGGCAAATGGAGAGCCATATCAAAGTCCTACTCGGCCCCACACTGAGGACATTGAGCAAGAAGAGCAGGAGATTGGGGTGAATTATGACGGAAAAGCAGTGATTGAGTCGACTTTGGACAACCCGGATAATTCAGGCGACCATCCACGCCGCATGCTCCGCCGAAACTCAAGCTCTTGTGTCAACTTATTTATACATGGTACAACATCCGCTACCACTGCTCTGGGGCCGTCAGGTGACGCTGATAAAATATCGACGAGCTCTACAGCGCATTCTTCAACAAAAAGAGAGATAAACTCGACTAAACGGCATACTTCAGGCGAAAAAGTACAATCCAAATCTATCTTTATTTTTACTGGCTTCATCACTATGGCTATTTGTTTTATCTCTAAATCGTCTACTTTTCTCACTGGTCTCTTGTCGTTTTCTTAACATGGCTATATTTGTGCCTTTACGTAGAAGAATGTGCGGGAGCATAGAACCTGATTCCGAAACTAGCCTGGCTAACTAGTGTTGAGGTGCATTATGGGGCCCCTTCAGGATAACCTTTAAGTTTAAAATTAATTTTCACGCTACACTACACTATTGCTTATTTAAGATGTCTTGACTATTTATCAGTTAAGTTCTATTATAATGTGAACATATATTCTTACCCTGTAGCTTTAAATAAATACATTAATTTTTTGTTAAAGCTATCAGCTTGCGCCTCACTCAAGTACCGACCTAATTTCTTGGACTACTCTATCCCTAAATTATCTTAATGTGCCCTATTTAACTTTTTTTAACTTTCGCTTGCCATTATGTTAGCAACTGCCAGAAAATTGGCTATAAGATACTAACTAATTTTTTAAATGTTTTTACTTTGTGATTTGATACATATTCTTATTTTATATTATTTCTATCAGATGAATCTTAATTCAAGGCAGCATACTCCACCCGGAATGCACCACTGTGATTCTGCTGGCTCTCCCACTTCTCTGCGTGTTTCTGAAGCAGATGATGGTGAGCTAGACGCCCCAGAAGTAGTAAAACGCGGTCGAATCTCATTGAAATCGGCTTCGGAACGTGTTACTGGTTCAGATATCTCTCAGCCCCCATCAGGTCCCCTCGCTTCATTGCAAGCCGCCAAAACTGCCGCTGTCTCTGAATAAACCTATTTGCTATTCTCCCAGCGACACCCATTAACACAAATACAGACAGGCATTGTGTGGACAATAGGATGGGCATGCATGACCTAAGTACTTCTTTTCGCTTGCATCTTTTATAAGCCTTCCTGTTTGCGTGTGCTCTCTTTGTTGTTCATACACATTTCTTAACAATTTTCTTACCCATCCATTGCGCAAACATTTCCTCACGCCGGTTTATCTACTTAGATGTGTGTGTGTGTGTGTGAATGCCTATATTACAATGCAGCTTCCTAGCTTGCTTCCTTAGCCCCTACTATTCTTGATTTGAGGATGCGTATTCTCGGATTCACCGCTGTTGGCAGGCTTTTGCTGCTGACGCCAAATTCTTATTAGTGAGCCTCTGAGGCGAACTTTTTTCTGTACAGAATTTCTCGACTATTCTTTTGCCCATCGCTCTTTTCGACTTCTCTCCATACAGCCGCTTTGAACGCCCTCTGCGATGAACTTTTCAATATCCTTAAACCGGTAAGTTTTTAGTTGTCACTGTCATTAATCTGCTTATCTTTATTTTTCTTGATCTTTCTTGAGATTAGTTTTAGAAATTTTGAATTGCTTTTTCGATCTGCATTTCTCATTATTTGAAATACTTTAACAGGGATATCCATAAAATATGCTTTATAATTTCTTCTCACTAGGATTGTATATGCTTTACTAAGGTTTACCTTGAGCTATCTTTATTCCCTTCTTTGTCCTCCTTTATATCTTAGGCGCTTGAATTTACTCTGCTATCATCAAGTGTATAGTTGTCCTACACCGAGTGTAGGACCTCTCAGTTTCTGAAGCTATTTTAATGAGCTATACTAATCAAAGCAGGCATTATAAATCAAACCCTACAATAAATTATGAGATGAATCGTTTTCTTATTTACATACAATGATGTACGCTGATGTAAGTACAATTCGCTTTATGCTATGGTGTCAATCAAATATCTTCTTGATTATATGTTCATCGATTCCATTAATTTTTATTAGTTTTCTAAATACTTAATTTTGAGAAGCCATCAGCTATAACCTAAATTATAAAACTGAACTCTGCAATCCCGTTTAATATAGCCTCATTGTGTTTCTGGATTCGAAATAGATTTCAATTCGGAGCTAACTATGCTTAAACATGAAAGTAAATTTAATTATATATTATTTCTAAGCCATTTCAGTCCATGTAAGATATAAATATAGATCAATCATCTTGTATACTTAAGCGACTAAAACCTACATTGTTAGATATGTAGAAAAACTGGACCTCGAAGAAACCCTTAGTAGTTTGATTCTAGACTATCTTTCATTTTGCTTAGGGAGGCGAGTGTAAAGCATTCGTAAGTTAGCCTTAGTTCCCTTATAGTTGTGACTACTTGTGCGACAGAGTTTTTGTCTGCCCCGATGCATCCTTGTTTAGCTGTCTTGCTTGATATCAACGACATCATCCGAGCAGGATATCGTGCTTTATGATATATCACTAAGCGCGAGAACAAAAGAGATGGCTTGCTACATACCTACCTGATTCGCATAGTCTAGCTTTTTCCATTAATGATTTTGTTGGTTGTCACATGTATTCGATAGGTGCTTATCAAAAAGTGAAACGTCTTCGGGTGACATATAGAGTGGCTATAGATGATACCTGAAATGGATATGATTGTGGTCAAACAGCTGTAGCCTACCCCAAATAAATTTCATTTTAGTCCTTTATTGTTGAACTTTGGGATCTCGTTCCATTGCTTGTGTTGGGTGCATTAAATGCTCGTTAGTTGCGTGAAAAATCAGATT